ACTTGTTGTTTACCATTTATGTTTCACCTCAGTGGCGTAAAGTCATTACAAGATGTATATAAGGACCGGACTTGCGCTAGCAGCTGATACCTCACTAATTGAGGTATCGCGCTGCGCAGGCAAGTCCGTCCATCACTACTCATACCTAACTAATTGAGGTATCGCGCTGCGCAGTCATCACAGGTTATCAGCCCAGTTTTACTCCACCGCTTTAAAAAGTCGCCCGGCACCGTTGAACTATTGCTCAGAAAGGAGCTGTCTCGTTCTGAATCGCCGTTACCTGCTCGTTCTGGATCAGACCCGAAGAACGTACCATGACTCTGAAAGACTCGACCATCGATAAGGCTGTCCTTGCTATCGCTAAGCTGAAGGGACGCGACGATTGGAATAGGTGGTCTATCAACCTCCGATTTGCTATGGGACACACCTGGGGCTACCTAGATGGAAGCCTGATTGAACCATCTGATAAGACAATACCCGAACACGCGGAATGGGTTGAAGGAGAAAGGAATACTCGCCGAAGATTATGGCTATCTCTCAGCGATTCAGTCCAAGACAACGTTTTTCGCCACTCCGAAAGTCCTGCCGCAACACTATTCAGAGCCTTGAAAGGTGCCTACCAGCAGACTGGTGCCTCCGCTGAATATTATGCGAGAACTAGGTACTGTGAGGCAAAAGTCAGCAACTACGAATCGATCTCGGACTTCTTATCTGGCCTTATGAACCTCGCTCACGAGGTAAACAAACTTGTCCCTGGCGATCGAGGACGGATCGAAGATCGAATGATTGCCATGCAACTCATCCATACCCTCCCATCTTGCATGAGTACCCTGCAGACCTTGCTCATCCAGAACGCCCCAGCAGCAACTGACGACATGAGCTGGGACCTCGACAAACTGAAGGGGGAGGTAGAGACCGAGGAACTCCGGGCCCGGGCAAAGGGGGAGAACCTTGGAACGAAAACTGAACTTGCACTCACGCCAAAGGCCCTTGCTGCAGAGAGCGATACAAAGGGAAGGAAGGGTGATCCATCCTGGCTAACGCGCAAAACATGTTGGAGTTGTGGAAAGACCGGCCATCTTCGCACAAAATGCATGGCAACAGAAGCCGAAAAGGAAACCTACCAGAAAAAGAGAGCCGCCGAAAAGGAAAGTGCAAACGCTACTGAGGACTCCGAGGAAAAGGCTCTATGTGCTGAACATATCATGGACACTGCACTGGTCACCGACAGGAACACAGACACGCCGAAACCCTGGATCGTGGACTCAGGATGCAGTAACCATTTTTGCCCAAACAAAAACGACTTCGTGGAATACACACCTTTTGATCCTCCACGCCAGATTGCCTTGGGAAACGATAGCCGCGTTCCCTCGCTCGGGGAGGGGACCGTCTTGATCGCCTGCACTGCCGGAGGGAGGCGCTTCACCTGTCGAATTCCAGACGTACAGTATGTACCTAGTCTCAAGTACGGTCTCCTTTCCTGTAGAGTCCTCATCCGTCGGGGCGCCCGGATTACCTTTGGCCTTGACAATGTCTGCAGGATTGAAAAAGGTGGGAAGCTGATCGCCGAAACACTAAAAGAACTCGCACCGATGTTCTACCTGAATCACCCGACCTCGCAGCTGACACCCACCGCATCCGAAAGGGCGAACCCGGCTGCGGAAGCCTCCACCCCCTCCTTCGACCTTCTCCACAAACGCCTGGCCCATCCTGGGAAGGATGCATTAAAGGAAATGATAAAGAGCGGGTCGGTTCTGGGAATGGAAGATGTTCGGGATGACTCGAGAGGTTTCGATTGTGAAGCGTGTATCAGGGGAAAGATGACGAGGGGATCTTTTGGAAGGGGACATGAGGTTGCTGGTGAGAGACTAGGGCGAATACACTCCGATATCTGCGGACCGATGGAGGTGATGTCACTTGGAAAGAGGCGATATTTCTGCACACTCGTGGACGACAAGACAGGTTTCACCTGGTTCTATCCGTGCTCACTTAAGTCAGATTTCACAGGGTGGTTCATCAGGATGGACACACACTTTGCGAATCAGTACGGGTCCCATGTCAAGGTTTTGAGGACGGATGGAGGAGGAGAGTACTTGAACTCAACCCTTCGGACGTATTGTAAAGACAAGGGAATTGCCATGGAGCAGACAGTTCCGCACACCCCTGAACAAAATGGAGTGGCCGAACGGACTAATCGGAAGATCTTGGATAAAGGATGCACCTTGCTGAAGGACGCCGAGGCTCCAAACTTCTTATGGGCTGACGCTTTCGCCACAGCTGTCTACGCTATGAACCGGACCATCGATACCCACTCGAACACAACGACGCCCTTTGAACGATTCCACGGAAGGAAGCCAAGTGTCGCGCACATGAGGGTTTGGTACGCTAACATGTTCATTCATCAGCCAAAAGATTTGGGAGCGCAGAAGTTGGGGGAGAGGGGGCGACCGGCTAAGTTTCTAGGGTATCCAGAGAATTCTTCTGGGTATAAGGCGTACGATGAGCTGACCCACAAGGTCGAGATCGTCCGCTCGCCTATCTTCCGGGAGGAGGCGAAGATCCAGCCACGTGCCGTCTTTGAGTCAAGGGCACATGATGATTCTGGTGATGAGTCAGATGACCCGGATCACCTGACTGAGGCGGCATCTTCCAGACCCACATCTCCGCCTGTACCCCCTACTGTACCTCCCGCTGCCACCCAGCCCACTGCTCGACCACAGAGGGAACGACGTCCACCTCATCGCTTCGACCCATCAGACTACGGTGCACATGGCTGGCGCAAGGACCTGATTGCCAATGTGTATGAAGACTTCCTGAATGAGGTACCGATTGCGGCGACTGTCACCATGGAAGATGTCCTGGATATTGTGTTGGATGAGGCCCATCTGGTGAACCCCATATTAGATAAAGACGCTGATCTGCCAGACACTCCGACCTTGCGGGATGCGTTGGCTGGCCCCGAGCGGGACCAATGGCATGCCGCCGTGCTAGAAGAGCTTTCTGCCATCCGGGACGCCGGCACCTGGGATCTGGTTGACCCATCTCCAAGTATCCGTAACGTCATCGGCTGTCGATTTGTGCTCGCCAAGAAGCGTGGCGCTGATGGAAAGGTAACCCGTTTTAAGGCTCGTCTGGTGGCTCAAGGCTTTGGTCAACGGGAGGGGATCGATTACTCAGAGACGTTCGCCCCCGTTGTGAAATCAGCCTCCCTACGCGTTTTTCTTGCCATATGTGCCCGTCACGGTTGGAGAGTCCGCCAGATGGATATCAAATCGGCATATCTCAACGGGGTGCTCTCGGAAGATATATACATGCGTCAACCGAAGGGATATGAGGAAAAGGGGAGGGAACAAATGGTTGCAAAACTTAAGAAGGGGCTCTATGGATTGAAGCAAGCTGGACGGGAGTGGTACGCAACCTTACATGACTTCTTGATTCACCTTGGATTTCGTCGAACACATGCTGACCACTCGGTCTTCGTATTCAAACGAGGACGATCCATTGTAATCATTCCTGTCTACGTTGACGACAAACTCCTTGCTGGAAACGACGAGAAACTGCTTACATCTATCCAAGACACCATCGGGGACCGTTTCAAAGTCTCAAGCAAAGGGGAAGCATCATGGATCCTGGGGATCCGAGTTCGCCAAGACATATCGGCTGGCACACTATCGATTGACCAGTCGCAGTATATCAAGGATATTCTCGCTCGTTTCGATATGACAGACTGCGCGCCATGCACCACGCCATTACCCGCTGGGATACACTACAAACCGGTACCAACGGAAGACCATTTGAGAGTTTCCTCGTACCCCTTCCTCGAAGTCATCGGATCTCTCATGTATGCTGCTCTAGGAACCCGTCCAGACATCTGCGCATCCGTGAGAGCGCTGGCGCCATTCGCATCGACCTTCGGACAAGAACACATCGAGGGACTTAGGCACATAATGAAATATCTTGCAGGGACTATGAACCGAGGGATAGTATATACAGCCGGGAGCGGGGACCTCGTAGGCTACACCGATGCAGATTGGGCGAACGACGTGGTAAACAGAAAGTCAGTATCCGGATATGCCTTTCTTTTATCTGGGGGAGTGGTTTCGTGGATGTCAAAGCAGCAAGCTGGCGTAGCATCATCCTCAACACACGCGGAGTATGTTGCAGCAGCCGAAGCAGCCAAAGAAGTAGTCTGGCTTCGACGCCTCCTGGAGGAATTACATGAAGGAATGCCCGGCTCAACCACGTTACACATCGATAACCGAGCTGCAAACCTACTCGCTCGAAACCCCGTCAATCACGCCGCAACCAAAAGTATCGACGTCAGGTATCATTTCATACGGGAATGTGTTGCGGATGGAACGGTTGATTTGAAGCTTATTGGAACGAATGATATGGCGGCCGACATACTTACGAAGTCCTTAGTCAAGGCAAAGCACGATCGCTTCTGCCTGATGCTTGGGATGGAGTTCGTGGCCTAGATAGATGCGTGGACGTTGGACTGTGGGGGAGTGTTAGAAGTTGCAGCCCAACGCCACTGGTGGTCAAGGGAGTCACCCGGGCCGGACATTCACGCTTTGGGAAGGGGAGGGGCGCTTTGAGGCACAAACGGCGGCAACCTCTTGGACTCTTTGTTTTTGCGCTTTGCGCTTTTGTTTTCAACTTGTTGTTTACCATTTATGTTTCACCTCAGTGGCGTAAAGTCATTACAAGATGTATATAAGGACCGGACTTGCGCTAGCAGCTGATACCTCACTAATTGAGGTATCGCGCTGTGCAGGCAAGTCCGTCCATCACTACTCATACCTAACTAATTGAGGTATCGCGCTGCGCAGTCATCACAGGTATGTCGCATGGAATGAAGCGCTGGGAATCTCCCTGCACTTCTGGAATGGCTCTGGTCGCGTTGAGCTCGATTCCAGGATCAAATGGGTAGAATTTCGCCATCTTCACTAACTGGGCGCTTATTCTGCGATATGCGGGGCTCTGGCCATGATCAGGCACTAAAGCACTATTCTCTTTTGGTTCATACGATGGACGATAGCAATCTTCTGGCATCAAATGTCCATTTGCATCATGCATAACTGCAAATTCCAACTCAAACTCTGAGATCGGATAGTATGTGGTCGCATTCTTGAATGTGAGCAACACTCCAGGCTCAATGCTTGTCACAAGAGTGTCTGCATCGTCGGATAGAGGCTCGCTGGCCGCCGTAGGATCACTAGGGGTCACTTCGGATCGTTGCCACCCCAGTTCCTGAGTGGAATCTAAGACCGGGTGTGGGTCAAAGGCTCGCGGATTCAAAGTCATCGCGCTTGAGTCAATCGGCTCCTTCTTGTCAATAAAAGTCGTCGCCTCCATCGTGTGAGGTATTCTAGCTTCGTCTGAGCACGTATGGGTAGTCTCGGCCCAATCTGAGGCCTGAGGAGCTAAGTTATCTTCGCAAATTTGCGGATCTGAGGTGCGTTCAAGGCCGATAGGCCTAAGCTCTTTTGGTTCTAGCTCTGGTACTTCAACAGGGCTCTCTAGTTGGTCATAAGTGCTAGATTCTAGGCTCTCAGCGCTAGAGATGGATGCGGCAATCGGCGCACGATCGGCTTCAGACTGAATGTGAGCGCGACTCAATTCAGTTTGCAGCGCTTCGCTTCTGACTTCGACTTCAACTTTAACTTTGACTTCTGGTGTGCACTCCACTAAGGGAACTTCTGGGAAGTTGGCATGGACTTCTGAATGTCTGCTCAACTTGGACTCGGAGACATCACAAGTGGGATCCGAAAGATATGCAACATGCGTCGATGCGCTCTGGTCATCTGCCCACTCTTGGAGCGCTGGAGTATGCCGACTCTCTGATCGGAGTATCTTGGACATTGGAACTCGTGTCTGTGCCAAACTCAGGCATAGTGTCGCTCTGATCTGCAGGTTGTGCTGGGAACTCTGGGAACACAGTATGCGTGGAACTCTGTTGTTCTTCCATCTGATGCAAACTCGTGCTATCATGACTGTTAGCCAAGTTATCAACTGGCTCGGACTTCATGTCGAAGTCAACATCGTATGAATCGTCTCGGAGCAGTTCTCGTGCAACTGCGGCAACATTGTTCATATGGGGAGGCTGGGTCGAATCAGACCACAGGCCTTGAACCTTGAGGTCATACCTGAGTTCGCGTCTGAACTTGGATGGGAATCCCTGGTAAAATAGGTCATCACGCTCTGAGGCGGTAAGGGCGTTCTTCGCTTCCAAACTCGCAGCGATAACACGGAACTTTCGCTGGTAACGCGCAAGGTGCTCCAGGCATCTCATCTTGCGGTCTTTCTCCACCAACTTGTGGAGGTCTTTCTTGCGATAAACTGGCTCTTCGTCGTCGGTGCTGTAGAAGCTCAGCAAATCCGACTTGAGCAATGACCAACTCTGGGTCTCAAGTCCAGGGAACGTCTGAACAAGCTCAGCTTCCCTCTCGGTGCAATAGGCTATCAGGTAGCTGCACTTCTCTGGGTCTGTGAGGAGTGCGGCATGCGCCAACATCTCAAACTCGTGAAGGAACTTCATGATCTGCCTGCCCTTGAACCGGGGAGCTTCGCGGCTGCGGGGTCTAGGCATTGGCATAGGTTCAACATAGAACATGGGCACTGCAGCTGCCAGGGCTGAGGCCATCACTGGAGGCGAACTAAGCGCCATGGGAACAACAGCGGGTTCAATGTAAGGTCACTCTAGACCTGCTCTTGGGGGAACTTGGAGGTACAAATGCGATCTCCGACGCCAATTGCGGTGTGGCAGGAGGGAGAAATCGCGCTAACGTGGTGGGTAAACTTGGTAACTTGGTAACTGAACTTGTAATGCGTGATCCGTTGATCCGTGAACTTGTACTGTACTGTTTCTTGATGTGTTTCTGTAACAAACAATGCAGATACTCGATATCCACAGTAGAATGATAAGTGTTTCAAAGGAAAAGAAAGTGTGAACTTGCGTGAAAGTTAGTGACCCGTGGAAGAGGAATATCCTGTCCCCTGTAAGGACCACCAGAAGTGTAAGCGGGCTCGGGATCTAACCCACTAGGAAAATAGGAAAGGACGGGGACCGGATTGGTATCCAACAGGTCAGGGAAAAGGGGTAATGGTGATATGGTATGGTCCGGTGTGGTACGGTGTGTGGTGTACTCCAGTCAATCTCTCACCCCACCTCTCTGGGTGACACTAAGGCGAGGACTGATATAGAGGTCTTCTTACTGATGTTCTTTGTCGTAATACTCCCTACTAGCTTGGGAGGGGCAAACTCGGTGGTTTCTAATCCAAGGGGAAAAGTAGATACATCCTCATGTACAGGTATATATGAGAAATGATCAAATAAAAATGATAAAAAATATCCGATGTGCCCCATGTGCTTAGGTGGATCATATGGGCAACAAACAATATCGAAAAAAACGAAGGGAAAACAATAATCAAGAAAACGATAAAGCAATAAATGATTTCCAGCCAAAAAATATCCAACTCTATCCATCACCAATGAACTCCCGCTAATCATGGATCCTAATACTCCTAAATGACGCGTTTCCAACGGTACCAATATCGTCCAAATCGGTGCAGTGGTTGCTGAGATAAGTGAAATCCAGTCTGAGTGCGGCCGCGCTGCTGGGTGGGCGTGGGAATTTGGTCTGTGGGGACTGGGAATGTGTCTGGAAAAATAGGAAAAAATCATGGAAGAGTAGGAATGGTATATGAGGACGTGTGTGATGTGGTTAGTGAAGTGGGGATGTGCAGGGATGGGGAAATCGCGATATTCGGTTCGTTTATGCAGTACCAGCTGTGCCCGCCTACAACGTCCCAGCGTCTTGTCAACGCATCTGGTTTAACTCCGAGTCTTCCGGGGCGGAATCGGACTGTCATGTGGAATTGGGAGAGGAACTCTGACCAGCGGGCTTGCCGCCGGGTCAAGAGTTTGGTGGTGGAGAAATACTCGAGGTTCTTGTGGTCGGTGACGACGTCGATTGGGGTTCCTGAACCTTCAAGGTAATGACGCCATGATCGGAATGCGTCATGGATGGTGAGCAGTTCCTTGTCATGGGTGTCGTAATTGAGTTCCGGCGCCGAGAGTGTTCTAGAGCGGAAAGCGACGGGGCGAATCTCTCCGTCATCACAGCGAATGGAAAGGATTCCGGAGATTGCGTAATCGGAGGCATCGGTTTCTACAATGAGGGGGGCGTTGGGTAGCCAATGTGTGAGGATAGGAGCGGAAGTGAAGGCTTTTTTCAAGGTGTTGAAAGCAGAGCGACAATCGTCAGAGAATAGCCAGGGGGCTCCTTTACGCGTGAGGCGCATCAAGGGGACCACAATGTCGGAGTATTGGTGAATGAAACGCCGATAGAAGTTAGCGAAGCCAAGGAAGGATTGGACATCCTTGACTTTACGGGGCTCGGGCCAATCTTGGACGGCTTTGACCTTCTCGATGGACATGGTGAGTCCGGAAGGAGAGAGGCAGTAACCGAGATATTTGTTAGATACTGATCCGGGGTCGGGCACCGAAGGGTCGCCGATGCGGACCGCTAAGGGCCGCGATGGCCGCGATGCCTCAGACAAGGCCCGAGGGTAGGGCATTTGGCCTCAGCAACTCTAAAGGGAGTGCTGTGCCCCCTAGTTGTCTCTTGGCCCTCATTTTGAACTTACTGGGGCTGCCTTGTTGGGGTCAGGGCTTGGGGTCGTGGTCAAGTCGATATTAGAGCTGAGGTACTATAATGTAGTATACAGGATATATATATGAAGATGGAATGAATAGAAGCGGACCCGGGCCGAAGGCCGAAGGGTCCGGAAGCAAATAGGAACAACGAGCGGGGTTGGCCGCACAGCGGCCGGCAATGACCGAGGGTCAAAACAAACAATAACAGATAAATAAACGAAGGGGTGTAGGGCCGCGATAGCGGTGATGGTATCATAGCGGAGTAGGCGATGTCGCGGAGTCACGCTAGGTTGGTGCCAGGGGCGGACTCGGGACAGGGAGGTCGGTGTGGCTGTGGGGGAGTCGGCCAGGTGCAGGGGAGCCTAGGGGCAAGCGGGGAAGTGAGCAGGGAGTCCTCATGGAGGATAGGGCTGAGGTTGGCGCTCGCGCTCGCGCTCGCATGGCGGGAATGGGCTCGGGCGGCATCGGGATGGGCGGCTAACGGGCCGGGATGCATGGTCGTGACAATATTCCGTAGTATCCATATGAAACTCGCATTTCTTCGGATTGGCATATAGGCCGTGTTTGCGGAGTCTCCTAAGAACTTCTTGGACATGCTCCTGATGCGAAGCCATGTCTTCCGAGTAGGTAAGGATGTCGTCTAGGTAGACTACCACAGAAACGTCCAAGAGGTCGGCAAAGATCGTGTTGACGAATCGCTGGAAAGCCGCAGGTGCATTTGTGAGACTGAATGGCATGACAAGCCACTCATAGGAACCATAGCGTGTGCGGAAAGAGGTCTTCCATTCGTCGCCTGCTGCAATGCGAACCAGGTGGTAAGCATGCCGGAGGTCGAGTCTGGTGTAGACCGTGGCACGGCTAGGTGTGTCAAGGAGGTCGGAGATGCGGGGAAGTGGGTAGCGATCCTTTTTGGTGATCTTGTTCAGTCCTCGGAAGTTGACGCAAAGACGGAGGGATCCATCCTTCTTGCAGACGAAGAGGACTGGTGCCGCATGAGCGGAAGTAGCGGGGTGAATGAACCCGGAGGCCAGGTGTTCATCTAAGAACGCCCGGAGGGCCTCGAGTTCCGAAGTAGAGAGAGAGTACATGGTACCCAAGGGTGGGGAGGTGCCTTCCTCAAGGTCAATCTTTAGGTCGTGCTCACGGTGCGGTGCCAGCGTTGTAGGCGGGATAATCGCCCACACGCAGAGCTGGCTTGGATATCCATTTACACCATTCAAAAATCATCTTCATTCGTTCCATAATTCGATACAAAATTGGTACCTAAAAATACTCCTAATTCCTACGAATCCGTCGATGTCAAGATCGTCCCAATCGGTGGAGATTTGGTGGAGTTAAGTGTTGGGGAGGTTGGCCACGGCGCGGGTCATGGGATCTGGTCATGTGCGGGCGTGGGAAGTTCAATTTAGGCAAGCGGGAAGTCAGAAAAGCATGCTTCACACATTCCCAAGGCATCAAATAAATTGGGAAAAATGTTCTTTAGCCGCGTAAAGGTTATTCCCAGCCACATTTCCAGTTTCGGGTACTAATTTTGTGAAATCATTGATAAATTCCCGATTTTCCTCATATTTTCACATTTTTACCATCATTTTGATATATTGGATGATATTCCTTTATTCTTTTGATGCCCTTTTCAAATATTTCGCTTACGATGGGGTCTAGGAGCCATATGGCACCAATATTTCCCATCAATCATTTCTAAAAATGTTTATTCTTTATAATCCTGTACATACCGGGATTGAAAATGAAGTTCTCCCCTCCTCTAAATTTCTCTAAGGCGCTAGGACGCGTCAGAGTTAGTGTGAGTGTGTTAGAAGTTCCAACAGTAGGAGTAAGGGCAGTCGTCTAACCCACAAAGAGTGGGTAGTGGACACTGAGCCCGGACCTTGCGGAATTTCCGGAGAATTTCCCGGAGTTTTAGGATCGAGGCCAGTGGAGAAAAGGGTTTTAGTGGAGAGTTTCCCCCACGAGCTTGGTTGGCGCTGAGAGCCGCTAGCTCTCTTGCATTTCTGGTGGTCCTTACAGGGGGACACTCTCACATCATCGGACATTTCATCAAGTTTTTCACGCATCGTTGGAGTTTCTCAGGTCTCAGTTGGATCTTAGGGACGCTGGGTTTGGGGTTATCAGTTCAGACGAAAGAGATCACGGTTGTTCGAGAGGGATTTTCATTGCGCGAGTTTTAGAGAAGGGTACATTGGGT